AAATTTGTTAAAAAAAAAAAGAACAAAAAACAAAAACAGGACAAGAAAAATGCTCAAGTCGGTGAAAAACATGAGCAAGCAATCAGAAAAATTAATGCCAAGAATATAAATAAACCTGCAATTCACAAAAGAAATTAAAATGCTACATAAAGCTATGCAAAGATGAAATTCATAGGTTTGTGTAAGGACAAATGAGATCATGTACTTAACATAATGTTTTATATACCATAAATGAAGCTATTAAAATATAACTAATAAGTAAATACAAATTTAAATCACAGAAATATATACATATATACACATATGAAGGTTATATATAGTCATATATTTATAACTTATGTGATTATATTCTATATATATTAACACAGATAACATCTGTATACATAAAATCATTTTTGAAAACACAGAAAACTTTTGAGCCCGAAGTTGACAAAATATGGAGAAAGACATCCTGTCATAATTTGGTAGTAGTACTGTAGTGGGTATGTCCTTTTAGGGAAACACTCTGCTAGTACCTTCTAAAGTAAAAAAAAAAAAAAAAAAGTATCAATCTAAGTTTACATATATCTGCTTTGAGTGAGTGATTTCACTGCTCAAAATTCATCCTACAGAATTATCAGCACAAGTGTAGAAAGATAACCATACATGGATATTTACTACAACAATGTAATAGAGAAAACTGGAAATAATCCAAAAGGCTACCAAGAGTTAAATAAAGGTACTGAACATTATTCAGCAAAATGTGGTAGATGTATATACCCTGACATGGACAACTGTCTAGAAGAACAATAAATTGTAAATCTAAAAAAAAAAATTGTTAAGGAGGGGAAAAACCAGTTTAGGACTATTTAATCTGGGGGTCTTCCATGTATAGATGGCTGAAGAGAACCAAAACTGCATGTAAAATTGTCTATGTACGTAAATGCATTTTCTAAGGAAAGTGTCTGTAGCTTTTATCAAATTCTTAAAGGAATATTTAGCCCCTGGAAAGGCTCACTAAACAATCAGGAAAAAGCATCCAGCTCTGAGTATCTAAGAAATGTAATTAAGTCATATTCAAGTGAGGAAGACTTTGGGGAGGAAAGAAATGCTCTCAATTAAACTTTGAAGGATATATTAAATGCCTCTACCACAAAACACAACATTTTATTTCAAAACTGCTAAATCTAAGGGTGTGAAGGAAGTTATTCATCAGATGAGCTTATATTCACTAATTACAAACCTCAACCAAAAATTAAAGATCAAAAACAGTCTTCAAAATGTGTGACTAGTTCATGCTTAAATTACAGTTAAAGTAAGATCATACAGAAGCAACAGGAGCCAAAGATGAAGTGGGAGTACCATTTGACACAGTCAGGTTGGTAATTATGGACCAGTTACTCATACATATGGACAAGTTACTCATACAAAGCCTTAACTAAACTTCATTTTTTATCTTTTAAGTTTTTATTTATTTGTTAGAGAAAGAGAGAGATTAAGAGAGAGAGAGAGAGAGCACATACAAGAATGGGGAGCAACAGAGGCCGAGAGAGAAGAAGGCTCCTCGCTGAGCAAGGAGCCCAAAGGGGGACTTGATCCCAGAATCCTGGGATCATGACCTGAGCGAAAGGCAAATGCTTAACTGACTGAGCCACCTGGGCTTCCCTAAACTTTATTTCTTAAAGATAAGTCAATTAAAATAAGACAAAAATAAGTTAGGTCTTCTACATAGTTTTGTCAACTTTCTTTGAGCAGAATAAATAAGTCTTTTCCCCTGGAGGCAGGTTAGGAAGAAGATTCCAATAGCTTTAGAACTAATATAATAAATTAACATTTTAAACATTATAGACACTAGAATCAATGGGACTTAATGAAGACTGAAATAAATGAGTAGAAAATAGCAGGAATACTCTCTAGCCTAAAATGAAAATATATCTTAGAACAGTGGTTCTCAACCAAGAGTAACTTTGCCCCCCTAAGGGACATTGGACACCACCTGAAAACATTTTGGATTGTCATAACTGGATGGGTACTCCTAGTATATTGTGGGTAGAAGCTATGGATGTGGCTCAACATCTCACCGACTCACCCACCCACTCAAAATGTCGACAAGGCCACGAAGTGGGCTGGAGGAGCCACTGAATCTGTGCTTTGAGATAATCAACTTTACAACAGAAATCCTAAAACAAGGTTTACTTGTTTTGAAACACTGACACCCTATCAAATAGCATAGATCTTATTAAAATGATCTAATTCTCAAAGGTTATTTAAAAGAAAGATATTAACCGAATTTCCAATTTATCTAAACCTTTTAAATGACGTAAAAGCCATAGGCAAGAAAAAAAAAAGGACAACGAATTCATGCTAAAAGAAAGAAGTTTTATACACACACGCATCCTATGATGCTCACAAACAATTCTGAGCAAAGGAAACCAGACACAAAAAGCTGTATTTTGCATGATTCCATTTATACACAGTTCAAGAATGCAAAAACTGATCTCTTGTTAGAAATCAGAATTGTGGTTCCTCTGGAGAGAAAGAAAAGGTATAGATGGGAGAGAACATAAGGGGGGGCTGCTGGAATGCTAATAATTTTGTATTTCTTAATCTGGGTAATGGTTATATAACTGTTCACTCTGTGACAATTCATCGTGCTGTGTACTAAGTAATCCAAGTGCAGTTTATACAGTTAACATTTGCACCAAAAAATGTTTATTTTTTCACAAAAAATTTATTTATTTTTTTTAAAGATTTTATTTATTGATTTGACAGAGAGAGATCACAAGTAGACAGAGAGGCAGGCAGAGAGAGAGAGAGAGAGAGAGAGGGAAGCAGGCTCCCTGCTGAGCAGAGAGCCCGATGCGGGACTCGATCCCAGGACCCTGAGATCATGACCTGAGCCGAAGGCAGCGGCTTAACCCACTGAGCCACCCAGGCGCCCCACAAAAAATTTATTTTTTAAATGTTATTTATTCATACCCTAAAAAGCTGAACACTTTGACCCACAGAGCTAAGTGAATGTCAATTGCAAAAGTAAAAGTATTTTAGTTACATAGGCTACCTTCCAAGAATTCAAGAAGGATGACACCCCCAGAAAGCTGTAAATACCGTACTCAGAGCTCATACAGCCTTCAGTTGAACACTTAAGCCACCACATATCCCTCGGCACAAATCCAAAAATCTGACAAAGGCTTACAAATGCAGTTAAATTTATTCCATGGGCAGTTTGAATTATTGCCCCCAATTTTAAACTGTGAACTGTTATTAGAGAATGCATTCTATGAAACAAACGATGCTCTCTTTCTTAATCCCGCATTTTCCCAAAACTCCCCCAAACTAAACCCGTCTTGGCCCTCACCTCCTTAGGATTTCTCCAGGCTGCTTGCAACAGTGCCCATCATCGCCTCTATCAGTATCCATCCTTACAATCGACCTCCCCAAACACATGAAAATTCATGCTCTTTCCAGAGGCTGGTCTCCCATACCAGACTCATACTCCCTCCCAGGACCTCATAAATACAATCCAAACCTCACTACCCTCAAACTCCTAATATCCTCAACAACGAGCTTCCCAACAGCACCACAAAACTAGGGCACATGCAAACCCCATCTTTAAATCCTCTTCCACCACATAAAAAAGGCCTGCTTCTGCACACAATTCAGCTCACTGGCCACTGTAGCTATCATCCCGGGTCCAGCTCTCTGCTTTAGGATCCCCTCTACTGCATTCACATCCATCCCATTTCCCACCCACTCCCTGCCCCAAACTCTGCTTTCTTCTTGAAAAACCTTTCCTAAGTACTAAAGCAAGGATATAAAGTTGAAGGAAGGATAAAGGAAGGTGCTCTATTCTGCATGAAGGTAGCTGCTCCAGGGTCTAACACACCAACCATGGGCACTGGCTACAGGGTCAGAGGCAAGAGTGTGAAACCCAGCCACAGTCCTTCCTAACTAACTGCAAGGCTCTGGGCGATTTTAGATCTTTAAGCCTCAGTCTGCTGAACTACAAAATGGGAAATCATAAAAATAGCGATCTCACAGAGCTGTCAGGATGAAATAAACTACCGGCTGTCGAGCACTTTGCACAAATCCTACGCTGTAAACTCTCGGTGGCTAATGGTTTTTCCTAGGTCCTCTCCTTGGAGGAATGCAAGAGGGTGATAGGTACTTCAAGGGCAAGGGAGTGGTGGAGGGAAGAAGTACCGTACACATATACGGCTGATACAAAGAATTATGTCAGATCCCCAGTGTTCTCTATTATCCCCTTACAATGTGGACCCCGAGAAGCCCTCAAAGCCCCCGCTAAGGGATTGGGGAAGACACAAATAGATACATCAAATCCTGCTTTCACGGAGAGTTATTTGAGGGAATGAAGTAGGAAAGTGCCGCCCCTAAATTAATCAAATGCGATCCTTGGCGGTGGGGGGGGGGTCTGAGAATTAGGACGAAAACCCCAAAGTCCCAAAGGATTTCTCTTGGGAAGCTGAGGGGAGTACTTCATAACAAGGAGATTAAAACTAAACGCTAGAAACCATAGACTCCTCAAGTTCTCCCCTAAGAAAGAGTACTAACTGGTTTCTCCGCAAATGGCTTGAGAAAGGAAATGCGCTTTCCGCGTCTCTCATGGGACACCCGGGCTTCCCCGGGTCCCTTCCCCGGAGGGATAAGGAGGACTGTCCGCGCAGGGGAATCCCCAGCCTCCCCCCACCCCCCAGCTGGGGAGAGGCGGACTCAGGCCGGGGCCCCCAGGGAGTTCCACTGGGACTCTTCCAGTCTCTTTGCAGCCGGTCTCCAGTAACGGGATCTCTCCGGGGGCTCGGGGATCTCCCAGAGCTTCGGCCATCGCTGGCTCCCTCCCCTCACAAGCTTTAGGTCCTCGGTCCCCCGAGCTCTCCCCGGGCACTTCTCCGGGTCTCCTGGCTGGCACAGGGTCCCCCCGCCGCCCACGGGCTCTCCTCTCCGGCCTCCTCCGCCGGCCCCCCCCCCCCGCCCCGCCGAGCGCCGCGAGCCTGCGGGGTTACCTGCTGAGAGGGCAGCTCCACATGCAGGGCCCGCGCGGCAGAACTGGGTGGCAGCGAAGCGACCGGGCCCGGGGGCGGCGGGGGGACCGGGCCCCCGACCGACGCCGAGGCGCTCATCTTGACCCAGGGGCCGCCAAGCGGCGGGGCCCGCGTTCCTCCGGCATCCGCCACCACCGCCTATCCTCGACCCGCCGAGTCCCTGCAGCAGAGAAACCCGCCACCCGAGAGGCAGGAGTGTTCTACCTAACCTCCGGCCGCCACCGCCGCTGGCTAAGGAAGAGCCATATTACCGCAGTGCAACCCCACCACCCCGCTGAGACCTGGCTTGTTCATTGGTTCGGCTGCTACGGGGGCGGGACCCAAAGCCAGACAAGTGACGTACTATTGGGCAAAAGGTCTGTCCATCGCCGACCGGAATGGGCTCGGGGCGGAGGGACCCGGGGATGGCCTAAATCGCGTCTGTCAAACCCGGGTGAAACTTGGGGCGTTGCTTCTTTTTTTCCCAGTCTAATTGGTTCTCTCAGTACTACGGGGCGGGGTCTCCTGGCCGATCCGCAAAGGCCATTGCTCTAGGTGGGTGTCAGTTGTCAGTAAGGGGACAGAGGGGCGGGTTCTGATTAGGTAGAAAGCGCGCCTGGGCTCTGTTGTCACGTGCAAGAGGCAGTAGAGTCACCTGATTAGTGAGAGTTGGTCTTCCGAGCCACTTCCGCCCGAACCTAGTTGCCATGGTAACCGGCCTCTGTCGGAGGGAGGGGACCCGTTTGGCGTCAGCTGGGTGGTGATGGCTGATCTAATGTTGCAAGCTCCCTGAGCAGCCTTTTCCTGAGGGGCTCCCAGCAACATGCGGAGATTGAAAAGGAATATTTTGTGTTTCGACAGAAGGCATGCACGGAGACTAGAAACCTGTCGGGCAGTCCCACCTGCTCTTCGGCGACCAATGCCAACCCACGAGTCCACGCCCCTCTTCACACTGCTCTAACTAGTGCGCTGAGCTGCAAGGTGTACCAGGCACCCAGGACGCAGTTTCACCTCTTGCTTATGCTGTCCTTAAAAGCCTTTGCCACTTTTTTCCTCCCTAGTGTTTACTTACCAACAAATCTCATCCGGGGATGGGGTCCGTTCTTCCCTGGTCTATTCTAGGACCCTGAGTTAGGAACATTGCCTCTACCATATTTCTGATTATTTTATGGCATTGTCTTTCAATAAGTGTGTAATACACACACACGTATTGAATTCCTCAAGTAAAAGGACCTTGTCATTCATATCTGGACTTCCAGGACCTGCTGAATAATCAATACATGTTTGCTTTTTAAGTGAAGACCCAGCTCAAATGCCACCTCTTCCATGAAGACTTCCTTGATCATAATATAGCATATATAGCAAATGCGTCTATAATAAATAGCACTGAATCATTCTGCAGGATATCAGTCTGCCTTCCCCCCCCCCCACTCCCAGACTGTGAATTTCTCCACCACCTGGACTGACAGAGCTGAAAGAACACAATGTTTTAGAATCAGACACAACAGGAATCAGGCAGTTTGGGAATATTGGCTCTGCCACTTTCTAACTATGTGTTCCTGGGCAAACCAGTTTCCCTCTCTCAGCTTTGGTTTTCCCATCTGTAAAATAATTATAAGGTTGCTGTAGGGGTTAAGTAAATCAACATAAGTAAAGTGCCAGGGAAAGCCTCACATATAATAATTGCACTAAAAATAGTTTAATAAAAGGTAAGCATACTATATTTCCAGGGTGTTCAGAAGCCTGAAGACAGTTTGGATTTGACCCAGGGCTGGCTAACATGGATGTCACCCTGTCTTCTATTCTGAGACATCGAGTGGTTCCTTATGGGTCAGGTGTTTGTTGATAAAGGATTAGTTAAGAAATCCCAAATCTCATGTTGTTCAACTCATGTCGTGCCAAGATCTGGTGGAATTTCACAGAGAACACTTTTCTGTTTCCAAGCTGTATTAGTTCCCTGAGGCTGCTGTATTACATTACCACAAACTAGGTGGCTTACAACAACAGCAACAGAAATTTGTTCTTCAACAGTTCTGGAGGCCAGTCGTGAAGGTGTTGGCGGGGCCTCACTCTCTCAGAAGGCTCTAAGGGAGAACATTGCCTTGCCTCTCTCAGCTTCTGGTGGCTTCGGGTAGTCCTTATCCTGGGGCTGCATAATTCCAGTCTCTCCCTCCATCTTTTCATGGTCTTTTCTTCTTGTTGTATATATTTTTCTTTTTCTTACCAGAACAATTGTCTTTGGACTCAGGGTCTACCCAGACAATCCAGATCTCATTTTGAGATCCTTAACTACAAAGACTCTTTATCCAAGTAAGACGACATTCCCAGGTTCCAGGGATTAGAGTATGAACTCATTCGAGGGGGAATGGGATATCATTCAACCGACGACATAAGTTAAGAAAATAGACCTCTAGAGACAGAACACAGAATCACTTCATTCCCCGTTGGTGGGCAGCTCTGAATATTAGCTAACTTTATTAGTTTGTTCATTTAACAAATGTTCATTGACACAGAGATGTCAAGCCCTTTGATGGGTGCTGGGAAATCAGACCCAGACTCATCCCTGGAGGAGCTGCCCTTTTTATCGGGTAGTCCAATAAGAGAACAAAGAATGAAAATCCAGTTGCTCAGTCTGAGGAAAGTTCAGGAGCTGTGGAAGCCAGAGGAGAGAGTCAGATTTCAGTCACAGTAGAGGTGACATTTAACCTGGGTATTGAAGGACCAATTAGAGTTTACCAGGCAGGAAGGATGTTCTAACAGAGACAGCAGGACCCATTCTTTCTACAAGTTTCTAATGAGATTCAACACTGTACCAGGCTGATTACTAGACACTGGAAATACACAGTTCAACTAAACAACCCTTCTCAGACTTTTCCACTCACATGCCACTAATACCAGGAGAGCTGGAATGCTCACCCCTAGGGACAGGAAAGAGAATCGAAATAACTGCAAAATATTCAAGGTAATGAACGTAAAATGTTTTGTACCGTGCCTTGGGGATAGTAAATGTTCAATAAATGCTAGCATTATTTTTATATGTCCTATTTCATTTTAAAAAGTCTTGTATTATCTTAGATCCCTTTCCATAATATAGTTATATTTGTTTCAGTGTAAAAATATTTCTAATCACTTTGAATTAAAATACTATAATATTTATACAGTGCCTTATATCCCCTAGGGAGACTTGTATCCAAGTGCGGGAAACATGGATTCTAGGCGGCCAAATACAATATGCATGTAATGATAGAAGAGAGATCAAGGTCAAATGGTAATGGAATGACTGACTCTACAAGAGCTGGTGGGCAAAGTTAGAGAAGGCCTCACAAAAGTCTTTTTAAAATGATTAAGAGCATGATAGACGAACACGAGGGGTTAGATCTGTTTGGTTCAGGGATGACTGGTGTTTTAAAAGCTAACTAGAGTCATGTTGGATATTAAAACCAAGCACTGTTTACAGGGTCAAAAATCTGAAGCCACTCCAATCCATTTTACCTCCTCTTCTTCCTCCCCCTCATTTTCTAGATCTCATGAGTGTGATGCATTAAGAGAGAAAGACAGGCCAGGTTGGTCTTTCAGTGTCTCAAATTTAATTAAATTAGATCTATCCCATTCCTTTCAACAGTGTCCTCTTTCTTCCGCTTACTTACTCACTGAGTCAAACAGCATTCAGACCTGTACCAGGTACCCAGCCAGGGCACTTCATTTACAGAAATCATGCAGATGGAATCCCTGATTGCAAGGAGGTCATGGATAATTTCACTACAACGTGCACAATGCAGTCACCGGGACAATATATAAAGTATAATAGGAGCACAAAAGAGGAAGTTGCTAACGGCTGTGTGTTGTACCAGAAGGCTTTCCAGAGAAGAAAGAGTATTCTAGGCAGAACCATGAGTTTTGCATGAGCAAAGGCCCTGAGACAGAAGACATGACATTAGCATTGTTTAAGGTGTCTGAAACAAAGGTTGCATGGGAGCAACAGGCAAAGAGGTCAAAAAAGGAAGAGGGGGCCGGGTAAGAAGAACCTGCTGCTAGGCGGAAGAACTCAGGCTTCATTTTAGGCAATAGGAAGTCAGTTAGAAAGAGCCTCGGGCAGCCCTGGAGAGGCAGCTTTCAAGAGGTAGGATTTGAAGAGCCGGACTCTTGCAGAAAACCAGGTGAGAATCGTAAAACAAGGAGACAATTCCGCAAAGAGCCTGCACCCAACAAAGGTGGGTCCCTGGGCAGCGTTTCTCCTTCTCCTTCATCAACCCTTCAAGGTCCTTTTTTGAAAAAGGCTTCCTAGAGGTGAGCTAATAGCTACCTTCTCTGGGCTTCCACTGCGGCTGTCTGACCTCTCTTTAGTACCTGTATCCACGTGCCTAGTCATATGGTTCGTGTTAGTCTCACCCACTCTACTTTGAACTCTTGCTTTTCATTTCGTGCCAAATCCCACAGAAGGCAGGCTGCAGGAGCTTCAACGCATCAATGAATGAAATCAGTGAATGAGTAGATGAACGCTGGAGGAAGGGAATATTTAGACGACGTGGAACCTCCACGCCTCTCCCACTGGACAGCTCCAGAGAGAGGAGATGAACTTGTCCAGGATCACACAAAGTTTGCAGCAAAGCTGAGACAAACACTTAGGCTTCTTGCCCCTGGGAGCAGCACTCCTTCCTCAATTCCAGTGGTTTTCACACTGTCGTGGACTATAAATGGGCCAACGTGGGCACCTGAGTTTATGAATTCACGGGCCAGCAGGGAGACAAGTGTTAGACAGAAGGACATCTAACCCATGGGGCTGATTTAGTGGGAGCCCCCAGAGAAAGCTTTCCTTGGGGACTGCCTTTTACAATGAGGTCTTAAGGGTGAGGAGGGGGTAACTGGACAGAGGGGGCTAGTGAGAGCCAGAGGAGAACTCAGGCAGAAGAAAGAGCTGAAGAAGGAGCCTGGAGCATTGAAGGAACTGAAAGAGAAAGCCAGGTGGGAGTAGGCAGGAGAGGCAGCCGGCATGGAGGAGGAGGAGGGGGAGGAGAACAGTGTTTGAAAGAAATTGATATTTCAAAAATAAAATCAAAGACTTCCTTCAATCTCTCTTACAGTTTTAGTGTTGCTTTCATTTGTCATTTCATGGAGTGGCAGCTGCATTGTCTTTTCAGTGCTTGGAGCTTCTGCAGTTTTAGTCCAGCTCTGATGGCATAGAATGAAGTCTGGGTCCAGATCCTGCCAGGGACGGTTGCCCCTGGGGAGTCTGACCTTGAAGTGTGTGGACCACATACCACAGAAGGGTTTAAGTAGGGGAGCTACCTGATCTGATT